AATTTATTTAATAAATAAATTTATTAAATAAATAAATTCATTATTATAATAATATATCTATATACCTGTAAGATCAGGTCTATCTTGAGAAGTTTGTCCTGGTAAAAGTTCAGAAGAAATCTCGGGCCATCTGGGATTACATGTTATAGTGATAAATAAGTCAGGCCTGCCAAAGGTTTATACTAACGCCATAGAATCTTGATAACGTTGATATATATCACGTGGACTGCCCATAAAGGATGATGGTAAAATAGGTTTAGTTCCTACTTCTGATGCACTTGTTACCCCTGATTGATATGAATCGTGTAGTTCTTGATAGAGTTCTTTTCGAAGTGTATCTTGATTTAAACGTAAATAATTAAGCCGTTCTGATTCAATTTTTACATAATTGTCAACGATATATTGTTGAAGAAGCTGTCCTCCATAATGAAGTAACGACAGAGAATTTTGACATATTTGTAACTTGTACGCATAGTATTGTCTGGTAGTTACTCTTTTTTGTGATATATTTTGTAGTATATCAGGGTGCCAGCCATGTTCACCTTGCGGGAAAAAAGTGGATACTGTATTGGGTCATAAGAGCCACTCAATTTAGAAACTCGTTGCAAGCCATTAGACTTTGATTCTACAATGATGTCTCGTTTCATGCAATCTATAGGTTCATGACCTTCCACCCATATGGCTGCAACCTGTGAAGCTGTTGGAATGTTATATGTTCGTTGGTCTAAGCTGTGGTCAGCTTTAATAAGAAGTCGAAGGTTTGTTATGTTATTATGAGAAGCAATTGAGCAGAAATTAGCAATAAATGGATTATATTAGTTTAGTATTGATTTGATGACTTCTAAAGTTTCACAACAAAGTTTAGATATTCTAGTTAGCCTATTATCTATTTCATGTTTCGTATCGTAAATATATAATTGCAAAAATTTTGGTGTTTTATTATCAGGAAGAAGAGATCCTATAGAATGATATATGCCACCTTGGATCAGAAATGTATATACTCCATCTTTGCCTATTAAGAAATTAACAAATTTTATTATACACATATTATATACGCATATTATT